CAGCTACATGTAAAAGAATGAAATTAGAGCACTCCCTAACACCATACCCAAAAATAAACTAAAAATGGATTAAAGACCTATATATAAGACCAGACAGTATAAAACTCTTTGAGGCAAACATAGGAAGAACACTCTATGACATAAATCACAGCAAGATCCTTTTTGACCCACCTCCTAGAGTAATGGAAATAAAATAAAAAATAAACAAATGGAACCTAATGAGACTTAAAAGCTTTTGCACAGCAAAGAAAACCATAAACAAGATGAAAAAACAACCCTCAGAATGGGAGAAAATATTTGCAAACGAAGCAACTGACAAAGGATTAATCTCCAAAATATACAAGCAGCTCAATATCAAAAAAACAAACAACCCAATCCAAAACTGAGCAGAAGACCTAAATAGGTCTTCCTATTTCTATTCTTCCTATTTCATTTCTCCAAAGTAGACATACAGTCTGCCAACAAACACATGAAAAGATGCCCAATATCACTAATCATTAGAGAAATGCAAATCAAAACCACAACGAGGCATCACCTCACACTGGTCAGAATGGCCATCGTCAAAAAATCTACAAACAATAAATGCTGGAGAGGGTGTGGAGAAAAGGGAACCCTCTTGCACTGTTGGTGGGAATGTAAATTGATACAGTCACTATGGAGAACAGTATGGAAAAAACTGAAAAACTAAAAATAGAACTACCATACGACCCAGCAATCCCACTACTGGGCATATACCCTGAGAAAACCATAATTCAAAAAGTCATGTAACACAGTGTTCATTGCAGCACTATTTACAATGGCCAGGACATGGACGCAACCTAAGTGTCCATCGACAGATGAATGGATAAAGGGGATGTGGTACATATATACAATGGAATATTACTCAGCCATAAAAAGAAATGAAATTGAGTTATTTGTAGTGAGGTGGATGGACCTAGAGTCTGTCATACAGAGTGAAGTAAGTCAGAAAGAGAAAAACAAATACCGTATGCTAACGCGTATATATGGAATCTAAAAAAACGGTACTGATGAACCTAGTGGCAGGGCAGGAATAAAGATGCAGACATAGAGAATGGACTTGAGGACACAAGGGGGGAAGGGGAAGCTGGAATGAAGTGAGAGAGTAGCATGGACATATACACACTACCAAATGTAAAAAGGATGGCTAGTGGGAAGAAGTTGCATAGCACTGGGAGATCAGCTCGGTGCTTTGTGACCACCTGGAGGGGTGGGATAGGGAGGGTGGGAGGGAGGGAGACGCAAGAGGGAGGAGATATGGGGATACATGTATACGTATAGCTGATTCATTTTTTTGTACAGCAGAAACTAACACAACATTGTAAAGCAATTATACTCCAATAAAGATATATAAAAAATAAAATAAAATAAAGATGCATTCTGGTGGGTGGGGTGAGTAGGAGGGGTGGCGAGTAAAAGAGAGTAGTTAAGGATGACTCTCAGACTTCCAGCTGGAGTAACTGGGAAGGTGGTGAAATCCTACTCAAATATGGGGAAGAGCGGTGGGAAAACCGGTTTGGAGAAGTCTTCACTCCTTTAAGGATACGCCTCAGTCTGTTAGTCATTGGAATAATTTAGAATCCCATTTAGCATTTCTTTTAAAAGGTATGTGTGTATCTAGAAAGAGCTGCCTGGCCTAAACTAGGCCCAGATTATTTTATATAGGGAGAGTTTAGGGGACAGGTGGCAATATGGCTGTAAGTGGGAGCTGGGGAGTTGTCTTGATGCTGCGATTGATATATACACACATTTTAAAATTCAGATTATGTGTTTGTTTAGGGTGATTTGGTGGACTAGGGAAGATCATGGGGGGGAGGGTTAAAGACCCCCCAAAGCTACCCCTTGGCATTGTCACTCACTAAAAACTTAGGGAAGAGATAGTACTGTTGAACTTAAATATTTTCTTAAAAAAAAAAAGAAATTTGATGTACATTTTCCATGTTATTTCATACATGGGTTAGCTTTCCAAAAGTGTTGTTAGTTTAGGAAAAAAATAATTAAATATGTAAATGTGAAAAAAAACAAAAACATGTAAATGTGTAAGCCAAGAGCCAAAACCATTCTGAACAGCCCAAGGTTGTGAGTTTACTTAATTTGCCCTTTCCCTGAGGAGTCATTTCTTGGATCATTGACTTATTATCATTCTGTAAAACAGTGGTAGCCCTTGTCACCCTCTGCCTAGTGCCAGAGTATGATCCAGCTGTGGGATCTGAAGAGTTTATGTTTATTGGATTTTAATGACTGAGTTAATAAAGGTCATTGCTAAAAGTAATAGAAAACTGAGTGTGTGGAAACAGAATGGATAAGACTGACTGGGGGCTTATTCCTAGTAGTTCCTTGGTGTTGTCCTTAGATATACGTTTAATCCTTAAAAACAATTAAGAAGGAGCCTTCCTTTTAATCAAGTCACTGATGCTATACTCAACTACCCTTGTAAAATGCTATTTGAAACCCCTCAATAACAAAAGGTAGCACGTACACACCAGGCTTAAGGTATGTCGGATCACATTGGCACAGCAACATATGGTGACCCTATAACTGTAATATTTGTTAATATCATAGCCATGGCATTCTCCAATACCTTTGAGAGAATAAAATAGCAACTTGAGTCTCAGGTGAAATCTGGTTGGGTATGAATCTTCAAGTTAAATGGGATCTTAAAGATCATTTAGTCTTGTCCTTTTAAATATTTACTAACACCCAAAATGGTGTTTATTAGGCTGTGAAAGAATTCCCTATTGTAAATGGTTATTGTTTGAATTATCTAAAATTAAATTGATAACAGCATTTGAGAGTATGTGAGAAAGAATAAATTTATAGTTGTGTCCCAGGCATAGATTCCTTAACAAATATTTTCCACCTTAAAATCCAATGAGATGAGATATAAATGTGTAATTCATAGCAGTAATAAATTTCTCACAGTTTTACAGAGCTTCTGGGATCTGGTTCCTATTCACTTTTCCAGGCTTGTCTCTTTTCGTTCTCCTCCCTCCACCCCTCTGGCTTCTCTCACTTACAGCTTTACTGATCTTTGAACTCTGAGTCTCAAACCCACACTACTCTCTCAGGTCTCAGGGCCTATACCCAAGGGATTCCCTCTGTCTGGAATCCCTTTCCCTCATTCTTTGCTGGGTCATTCTGCAAGCCTACTATTGCTTCCTGCCGGAAACCTTCTGCCCATCTCTTTTTCCCCAATCTCAGACCCCAGGGAGGTTTCAAAAATTCTTGGGCAAGTGTCTGCTCAGTTTTCCAGGGATAACCAAAGCCAACATGGTCCTATTCATTGTTCAATCCTCCACCCCTAGGACAGTGTTTGGAGCATAATGAATACCATGAACGAGAGAGTGGATAAACAGTCTGAGCACTGATGGATTGGAAAGTTATAGTTTACACAGTTAAACAGTAACATAAATCTGAAGAAATAAAGTTGCTGTTTTAAAAGATATATTTCACTTCGATTTATTTCTTCTCTAAAGGGAAAACATACACACCTTGGCATCAGTTTGAAATGAAACAAAAATTTCAGTATTATTGTAAATTTCTTTCAATAGGTTAGATAAAATGTGGAATCCAGAGAGTTACAAGTGCAAGTGACAGAATACTGTACAAAATCAACTTAAACACCTCTAACTCTCAACTTGTAAGTTTTCTCCTCAGCAAGTGAGTTAAAAGAAAGGCAAAAGTTCTTAAAAGCTTTCTTGGAAACTTTAATAATGTCAGCATATCCCCCAGAGAATGGATTTGGTCTGAGTACTTCCATTTCTGAAATTGTGCAAGAAAAGACGACTTGGTTTTGAGAGTCAAACTGCATCCTTCTATAAAAGTTCAAGGGCTTTCTAGTGTCCATCCATATAAAACACTGTTCTTATTTTAAGAACAAAAGGAGCAATAAAACATTAGCTTGGGAAAGAAGGACGGAGCACTGTCCTTCTAGAGAGGTTTGAGTAGTAGTAGTCGTCGTCGTAGTAATAATAGTAACAACAACAATCAACACAGTAAGTTAAAGCTTGTGTTAGATCTGATAACTCCAGACTGCCCACCGTTTGTCAAACAATGTGGGAAACAGAAAAAGAAATCGTAACTTTGTGTGTGTGTCCAAGCCTACCTCGTAGAACTTCCAGTAGCGAATTTAACAGTCTTGGACAAAGCTCCAAAATTTTTTTCTCCTTCAAATCTCCGACTACTGGGAAGAGGACGGGATCTCTTCTAATAAATACAAGACCCAGCCTTGTTGCATGTTTAATTGCTGACATTTTAGAAGCAGAATGGCTATTTACAGTTAATGAATCAAACTACCAAACAAAATAACAACAACAATGACAGTAATAGTAATAAGAAATGGATTTGCTTGGGGGTCATTTCAGGAAGGAACACACTGGCGGCGCTGCATCCTCCTGCCCACACTACCGAGCTCACCCGGCCCTCCGGCTCCCGGCGGACACACTCGGCAGGATTTAGCCCCCTTCTCGTCTCTCCAAGAGAAGAAAGCTCCAGGAGGAGACCGTATTTCTGTGTCAAAAGCATTAAAAGCCTGCGGAGCCGCGCGCAGGGCGCCCACACCCGTTCCGGGCAGGCCCGGCCGCCCGCCCCGGCCCTGGCCCCGGCCCCCTTACTCTGGCGCTCCATGGTCAGCTGCTCCTGGGGCCCCACGGGCCGAGCCCCCCGCGCCGCCGCCGCCGCCGCCGCAGCCCCTCCGAAAGCCTCTCCTCCAGGGCCGGCGTCTCTCCGGTTGCCCTGACAACCCGGAGGGCGGGGGAGGAGGGGCAAGAAGGACGGCGAGAGGGAGGGACCAAAAGCCGCGAGGCAACGCAGGCGGCCGCGAGGACCGCGCGTCGCAGGGGCACCGAGCGAGGGTGGCGGCGGGGTCGCCGGCTGAAGACTCTCTGCCCGTGAGGCCTGATCTTGCGATCGCGCCCTCCCTGGCGGCCTTCGCGCCCCCGGCGGGGCCGGTGCCCGGGCCTTCGGCTGGGGGCCTGCTGGCCCTCCGTCGGCGACCCAAGGCGTCAGTCGGTCCGTCGGTCCGTGCATCCGGCGAGTTCGGCCTGCCCCGCGGGGTAGGGCGGCCGGGCCTGAGACTCCCTCCCCGGACTCGGGAGCCGCCGCTGCAGGTAAAGGTCGGGCGCGGCGGCGGGAGGGGCGGTGGGCGGCCCGGGCGCACCTGTTGCGGCCGCTTGGGGCCCCCTGCCCGCCCGTTGGCCCGGGACGACCCTGCCCCGACTCGTAAAATGCTCCGGAGGAGGCGGCCTCCCCCAACCTCCCGTAGCAGCGTCTCGGCGCGGGGAGAGAACCTGTGCACACCAGCCCTCCAAGCAGGGGGCCCCGGCCGCGGGGGTGGGGTTTGGGGGCTTGAACCCCGGCCCCGCCTTGGGAGCGGAGAGTTGGGTCACTCGTGTCACATTTGCGGGAAGCATGGAGCAGATGAGAGCCTCTTCTGTCGTCAGCAGTGGGCCGAGTGTGTCCCTTGTATCCTGAAACCCGGGAGAATTCCTTCGCTCCGCATTGCACTGTCATCCCAAGTGTCACATTTCAGGCTGTGGGCCCGAGTCGGATCTTTCCGGTTGAGTTAGTTTGTGTGTTTGTGTGTGTTTGTTTCAGCCCTCCCGGTTTTCGATTGAGTTGTGGCATCAGCCCACACGTTCTGTGCCAAAACTTTATAGGTATGTGAAAGAAGTGTAACGTGATCCCACACCGTAATCTTTCCTAATATTTGTTTTTAAAACACTGATGCAGGTAAGGAAGCTTTGAGGGTCACCAGGGATTTTATCTGGTAGGTTGTAAAAATTCAAACCACGGGGAGAGTGCTGTAGGTTAAGAAAAACAACTGTAAGGAAGAGGGAAAAATGGAGAAGAGAGAAGGAAAAGGACGAGAATGAAATTGCAGGTGGGAGGAAAATGGCATGATTGATTTAGTACTCATGCTGGAGATTATGACCCCTCCATCAATTCCTCCTGCTGTTCTAGACAGTACTTGAGGGAAATGAAAAGAGGCCTTTTGCGGTCATGTAAGTGATTACTCATTCTTTGCCACTAGAGAGATTTCCACTCTGTAGACAAGGAACATCAAGGAGAATTACTTTTCTCTTCGAATCATTCAGAGGTTAATTGAACCTGAGAAGCATATATCCTGTGTTGAAAAGGGACATTTATTATATTCCACCAAATTAGGCTTTCCCCTCCCAGACTATATGGAGACATTTTCAGATTAACTGTCAAAGCAAGAAGGTTTATGTGTGGATATCAACAAGCAGTGTGATATATACAGAATCCGTAATTCATAAGCTAAAATATTAAAGTAATAAATTGAGGTTGGAAAGTAAGCACTTCATGGTACCTTAAATACCTGTTCATGTTACGTAGAGACACAGGGGATGGATTTTTAGACAGAAAGCATCTAAGATCAACAGTACTTTGGTAGTATAGTCTTTTCAAACTCTAGTTTTCACATCATTTGCAAAATCATGAATTGGTCTTTTCATCCAAGAAACAAACATAATGGTGCTCATTAATAACATCTTAGTCAATGTGATAAGATAGTGATGAAAACTTGGCTTTTATTAGCAGGAAAAAAAAAAGAGGTAGGGTTAAAATTTCCCATATAGTAAAGGATTAGGCATTTGTATTTAAAAAGAAGAAGCAACATTGTAGATCTTCGTGCCAAAGTGACAAGGACTCAGGAGTTTAGTAGTTGCATGCAGATTTTAAGGTTGGAAAAATGGAGATATGCATTGGTGAATACTTTGTATTATAGATGAATGATTTTATCAGTAGTTATGAACTTGACATTGAGGAAATCCTGCACTGAAATATTTTAGGTAACAGGTGACTTTGGCAACTGAAAAGCAACATTGGATTTTAGGGGATAGGGTACCTATGGAAGAAATGATTGGTTGTGGGTGGGGGGAAGTGGGAGGAGGGGAAGGTACAAAGATGTCTAAGGCAGGGACAACATTCAGTTTCTCTTCCTCCAGCCCTAGTACAATGTACTTGTTAAATGTCTGTTGAATGAGTGAGAAGAGCTTTAGAGAAATCGCTCTAGGTAAAGGATACATTATTGGAGGAAATATCCTGAGGTCAGAAGGTTGCTAATGTCCTAGGAGTTGAGATGAATGGTAAAGGTATTGGTTGTCCCTTTGGGGATTTTCTACTACTTTGTTTTCTGTTTCTTTTCACTGTCATTTTCAGGGTGTTACTGGTGGTCAAGTTAAAAACAATGAAGTCCTGATTTTTAAAAAAGTTTCCAAGCTCATCACTGGATAGAATAGTTACATTATTATTTACTTGGCTGATTGATGCTTAACTAAATGTAGCAAGCCAAAGCACTGTCACAAGGAATAGCAAGGTAGCCAGTAAGAGTAGCCTTTCTTTTTCTTATTTAAATCTCTTGTCCACATCAGAATTCAAAGTAGAAATAACTCCAGTAGGAAGTTAATATTATTTAATCCTAGTAGGATGATTTAAAAAAGAAAAAAGAAGGAAAGAAAACAAAGCAAATGAATGTGTTATTTCCATTTAGCAAACTTACTATCATAAGTCAGAGGAAGTTTCTCATTTTTGTTTTTGGATTTCTGTTTGTTATTTTGCCAGAGTGAGGGTACTTTTTCCTCTTTCTCTGTTACTTTCTGAAACTCATAAGGAGTTCAGTCAAAGGCAGAAAACAATTATATTTCCATTTTTGCTGTTTCCTTTCAGTCCTCCAGACCTGTCATGGTCTGCACTCAAATTGTTGGACTCAAGAAATGCCCATCTCTTAGCCCTTTTAATCATTCGTAGTATAATCGGGCTACAGGGCCATGCCACCCACACCCCCAGTTCCCATCTGGGAAGTCTTCCAGGTTAGGGGACTGCCCACTGAATGTATTTCTCTTTCCTACTGGGGGCGCTACACACTTTGGCACTTATCCCTATACTCTACTTTCTTTTTTTTCTTAGAATTTTTTTTTTATTGAAGTATAGTTAATTTACAATATTGTGTTAGTTTCA